TGTATTAAGTCAAGAGATTTTTGGGACAGGTTCTTACAAGCAGGGCCAGACTGGAGCCACCTCCTGTCACAGAGCAATGTGTGTAGTAATAAATGTAAAAGTAATTATTCATAATAAATAAAATAAAATAAAATAGTAACACAAATAAAATAAAATAAATAAAATAACATAAATAAAATAAAATAAGATAAAATAAAATAAAATAGTAACTAAAATAAAATAAAATAAAATAAATAAAATAAAATAAAATAACATAAAATAAAATTAAAATAAAATAAAATAAAATAGTAACATAAATAAAATAAAATAAAATAAAATAATAAAATAAATAAAATAAAATAAAATAACTAAACTAAAATAAAATAAAATAAAATAATAATGTAGCAATAATTTAAGCAATCTCTTCAGAGACCCTGCCTGTGTGTCTCACCTCAGAGGTGTGAGCAGGTCCTTTAACCCCTAAACCAGGACAAAACCTCTTCATCCCCATCTCTGAAGAGGCTGCCAAAATATCCCTGCCAAGGTTCCTCCTGAGCCTACAACATTCCCCACGGTGCCAGGGAAAAAGCTCCCACTCTGATTGAATCAGCTGCTTTTATCACTCCTCCTGATGCACCCTCTGCTAATAAATATGGAAAAAGTGAATTGAAATTGCAGAGCCCTGCTGCAGTTGCATTAACTCCATTACCTCTCCCAGACTTTCAGCTCCAGTTTCATCAATTATCCTGCAGACAGAGTTTAAACACTCAGCACTTCCTCAGAACAAAACAGGGACTCTGCTGAAGGGTCCTGGAGCTGCTGGAGCAGCTCAAACATGCCTCTTCCCAGAGAGAAAAACACAAATAAAGTGGATTTTATCCTACACAGCAGAGAACATAAATTTAAGTGGGGTTTTGTTGTGTTTCTTTTCCCATGGAGTTAATGGGAAGCGACAAAAGGCTCTGCTGAGAGGGAGGTGGGGCTCGGATGTTTACTAAAGGTGACAAAGGATTTAGCTGGCCCGCTGCTTTATTTATCCTTCTCCTTAGCAAAAAAGAACTGTAGTCACCTTGGAGACATGAGGCAGTGACAAAGGAATATTGCACTGGACCAGAGGTGACTCAACACAAACTCCTGACACAAGCTCTGTGCATTCCCAGCTGACAAGTGCTGCTTTTCCAGGAATTTCTTTACCAGGACAGAACCCCTGGATTTTTTCTTTACCAGGACTGAACCCCAGGAATTTCTTGACCAGAATTGAACCCCGGGATTTTTTCTTTACCAGAACTAAACCCCAGGATGTCGTTTCACCCCAAATTTGCATCTCTGCAAGCCACAGGAACACTGGGGGAACTCTCTCCTCCCTTTGTCCCTTCCTCTCCTCCTCCCTTTTGCTGTTTTTAAGATCAAAAGCTTTGTGCTCTTGATTGGTAATTAAGTACAAGTCACCCAGGCTGCTTTTTCAAAGAGTAATTAAAAGGTTATCAATAGAACATGCAAGGTGCAGGTAATTAGGTCAGCCCAGAGATAACTGCTCTTATCACAAGGATCACATCTTTTCCGAGTTCAAACCAAATCCTTCAACTTTCAGTCAATTAAATACGGCCCAAGACGTGGTTCTGAACTGCTCACACAGCAGATTGATGGCAATCCTTCTCCTCACTGTTCAGCCACTTGTTAGGAAGAGGGATGAGGATCTGGGAGCAGCTTGAGGAGACACGGTGAGATGTGGGACGTGAGCTGCAAGGAAAAAAAAAACCAAAAATCTGATTTTCTAAGCTGACCACTTCCATTTGGAGTGTAAATTCAGCAGGTCTCACTGGGAAAACAGAATTAGGGAGCTACAAGGACCGACACACAGGGAGACTGTAAATGTGTTTTCCCTGGGTCTGAGAACAAGCTCAAAGCTTCAAATCAGGGAACTTGCAAGTGATTTAAGACTCTCACATTAAAGGGGTCCTGCAAATTACTGGCAGATGAAAAAGCTGGGGCAAGCCACGTGGTTCTGTCGTTGCCCACTCTGGGGATGCCGTGGAACAAGAGCCTGACACAAAGAGGTGCAAGTCTCTCCCAAATCCCACAGCAATCTCAGAGCCATAAATAACCCCAAGAATTCAAATTGTAGTCAGGTCTGTGCTGAGTTTCTGAGGCCAGCACAGTGGGAAGGCAATCAGGAAGGGAACCTGATTGGAGCGACCTGGGAACAATGCCACAATCACAAGGCACAATGGGAACTGGGCAAAGACTGTTCTGGAATAACTGCAGGGCTCCACAGGACTCCCTGATCCCACAGCAGCTGGGAACTTGGAGGAAGAGGATGTAGGAAGAGTCTGGTCTGGTGGAATGAGCTCAAGAGAAGGGGAAGTCCTGGACATGAAGCAAATCTTGATGTCCCTCATCAAGGAAAACTCTGCAGCCACAAATATAATTATTATTAATATAATAATTATAATATACAGCTCTCAGGTTTCACAGAAAATTCCCCCACAGTAGTTCCTGCTGAAAGCCAGGAGCTGGGAAAATTCCAGTGGACAAGGAGGAATGGGTTCCAACTGAAAAAGGAGAAATTTAGGTTATATGTATGGAAAAAATCCTGCCCTGTGAGGGTTGGGAGGCCCTGGCACAGGTTGCCCACAAAACCTGTGGCTGGCCCTGGATGCCTGAAGTGTCCAAGACCAGGCTGGAGCAGCCTGGGATGGTGGAAGGTCCCTGCCCATGGCAGAGGATGGAATGAGATGGAATTGAAGTTCCCTTCCAACCCAACCCACTGCAGGATTCTAAAAACCCGATGATTTGAGAGAAGCTGGAATAGCAAAGACTTGGAAACGAGCTCTGATTTTAGCAAACAAAGCAAAGTCATGGCACTGAGAGATGACAACAGCCCTGGATGTCTAAATTAAGGCACTGAAACCCATTTAATATTCACGTCCTCATCACAAACACGCAAGGCAAATTCCCTAATATCCAGTAAAGCTGTTTATTAGCAAATGCCTCATTGGATTAGGGCTGCTCTTATTCTATTAGGGAACCTTCACACCACATTAAATTGCAAGACAAGAGGGTGTTTGCCAGCACATGATGAACACAACATTAACCCCTTCCCAGGAAGTCCTGGAATGGTCTGGGTTGGGAAGGACCTCAAATGCATCAGGGATGCTCAAAAATAGAAGTTTGGGAGGGGAAGAGGCAAAGAAATCCAGTTGTCCCTTCTTTTCCCCTTGCTCACAGCTCATTTTGGGTGAGCTCTGATGAGTGACACGTGGCCATCCATCTTCAGGGATGCACCTCGGTGATGAATGGAGAACATTTGGAGAGCAGGCAGGAAAAAAAAGCAAAATTGATGGCCATGAGAAAGAGAAAAAAGGGAGAAAAAAGTAACCCAGTGTTAGGCAACAGTTAAGAGTTTAATGAGGTGAGATTGATACACCAGAAATAATACCTGGGGTCTCCTGAGGTGGAAGGGACCCACAAGGATGAGGGGACACCCCAGCAATCCCACGCTGTGCAAGAACCTTGCCCAAACACTAAAACTGGTGAACAAGGAGATGAGACATGAAACAGCCCAAAGGAGCCAACTCCAGGTTTAAAGTTGCTAATCCAGAAATGTCCAAGGGAAGAAAACAAATGTCCAAGGGAAGAAAGCACATGTCCACCATGCAGGAGTTCATCTTTTACTGTGCTGAGCCTCCCTAAATGCTTCCAGACCTCTAGGAATCCCCCTCTTTATTTCCCCCCTTTATTTCCCTTTCCTGACCTAAATACACTCCATTTCCTGAGCTCAGAGATGGAACATTCCCACGTGGATTTTGCTGCTGGTTCCACCCCCAGCTCCCATTCACCTGCCCAAGCTGCACCTGAACCTCTTCTGCTTCCTCAGCTTCCCCCAGTGCAGGGCCACAAATCCCCAGGGCAGAGCCCCAGCTCACACTTGGGAGGTTCCTTTCTGCTACTTTTATTTACAACCAGAATGTTCTAGTAAGGGTCTCACAGCAGCATTAACTTCTCACCACACAAAGTTTCCTGAGCTGGATTTTACCCCCAATTTTCCACCTCTCCATTATCCCCAAAGCAAAGCACTGAACCTCCTGATTAAACACCCAGGTCCCATAATTAAAGTGATTCTCAAGCACAGTTGCCAAATGAGGAGATGATTTATTTGCATAACTGAAATAATCTACATAAAGAGCTGATTTCCACCAGGGTGCAGCTCAGATGTTCCACTCGGGTCAGACAAGACACTGAGGTCAATGGATTTGTCCTGAACTCGAGTGCTTTGAAGGAAAATCCATTTCCAGGGCTCCAGAATTCTTGCCAGAGATTCAGAGCCTGGATGCTGCCACTGCTCCCTGAGTTTTTGAATGCATCACTGTCAGGGTGGAGCTGCCACCAGCACCTCCAGTCGTGTCCCCAGCTCAGAGGGCTGAGATCACGACTGCTCCACAGCTGACAGCTCACAGAGCATCTGCTGCCACAGCAACACAGCAAAATCAGCCTCCCACAAAACTTTTTTTAACACTGAAAGCCTCACTGGAGAAGCCATGGGGAGTTTGCCTACTAAAGTGGATTACTGAAAACTTCTTACCCCCGGAGATCCAACAGATGGGAGGAATGCAGCCCTGGCCAGCTGCTGGATGGACCGGGGGTAAGGAACCCCAGATTTTGGGGGAAAACCCACAAAGGCTTTGGCAGAGCTGTCACTGAACCCCACAGTCCATTCTCCCACTCCAGGAGTGTCCTCTGGACCGAGGGAAGCTCTCTGCACATTAACTCTGCTTCCCTCCTGCTCCATTTCCTAATTAACTCCTCTGCATGTCTGGGATAAGTCTTGATAAATCATTACTGTCAGGAGTTCAGAGAAACATTTCCAAGCCTTATCAGAGATAAGAAATCAAAACAACTGTAAGAACTGCTCATGGAGAAACACTCCCAGTTTATTGCAGCATAAACATCCAAGGGCAGATTTAATCCCAGTGGCAGGAAGGGGAACATGTTTATAAACATCACTGTAATGAACACTGTACCTCGTTCTCAGATTCCCCTGCTGAGGCAGCCCATCGTAGATGGATAATACATCAAAATCTTCCTCTAATGCAAAGGAGTGGAAAACAAGCTGTATCCTGTTCTGCTCCTCAGCAGTGATTGTCCACGTGCAGTTTGCATAATTGGGGTATCCATAGGGAAAGCCTGGGCTCTGTATTGTCCCGTTTGGGCCCTGCAATGTGTGACTGCAGTTCTGGGCTGCCAAGAGAAAAGACAAAAGCACAAAGTCAGAGGGTGTCAGGTGAACACTGAATGTCCTCAGCATCCCAACAGAGCATACAGGGCTCTTCCCACCAGGTTTCTGTGCCTCAGGAAACAGAGGAAAGTAAAATCTAAGGATGAAGTTCTGGCCTCCTCCCTGCAGGGATGTGGAGCCCAAACCCCCAGACACATCCTGGGCTCTGCTCCCAACAGCTGTGAGCACAGCTGGATTCACAGCTGCTGCCTGGCCCTGGGGCCACCCTTCCCCAGCCCACCACAAAACCCAGAGTTCTCCCATCACACTCCGACTGCACCTGTGCCAGGGGCCAGGCCCTGCTGGGTCACAGCACAGGGACAATGCCAGAGCTGACTGTCCCCAGATTCCAGGGACAATGCAGAGCTGACTGTCCCCTTCTCCACCAGTTCCAGGGACAATGACAGAGCTGAGTGTCCCCCAATTCCAGGGACAATGCCAGAGCTGAGTGTCCCCCAATTCCAGGGACAATGCCAGACTGTCTCCTTCTCCCCCAGTTCCACCTGGACACAAGGCAGAAGAAGGGCTGAGTGTGCAGGCAGTGCCACATCCCACCCTCACCCTGAGAAAGCCGAAGGGACCCCAGGGAGTGACAGGCTGAGCCACCACGGGCAGCCTGGCTGGCCAAGGCTGCCTGAAATCTCGTCAGCCACAAACCTGTCCTGACTCCAAAAAGAGCAGGACACAGTGCAAGGCTTGACCAAACAAACCATCCTGTAAGGTGCCCTCCAACCCTGACTGGGAATGGCTCACTGGAACAAAAGACAGCAGCAGCACTCACACCCCTGTTAGATTCTCTTTTTTTTTTTTTTTTCAAAGGCAGCAAAGGCATTTGCACTTCTGAGTGCCAAGCAGCTACAGGTACAAAACTGCAGAGTGGTGCTCATTAAAGGCAATTATAATTAGATTGACCTACTTTGGGTGCAAAAAACGCTCCGTGGAACTTCTCCGCGCAAGACGGAGTTCGCCGTTTTATGAATCCAAGACAGCCCATCCTATTTACTACCCAGGGAATCTTTTTGTAGCACGTTTATTGGATCAATGAGAGGCAGGACAGCCCCACAATCCACCAGGGATTAAAGTGAGGGAGGCACAGGATTCCTTGACTGGAGTATTTTGCATTTCTGTAGCACCTGGCTTTTTGTCACTACATAAGAGACTAATCCGCCTCCCTCCTCCACTTGGGCTCCATTTCTTTCGGGGAGTTCACTGGAAGAGCTCAGTGCCAGAAAGCTGCAGAGGAGTGGGAATATTCCTGTGATCACAGAGGAGTAAAATGAAGCCCAGTTTGGTTTAAGAACCAAAGATCCACGAGCTCTGTTCTCCAATTCAGTCGAATCCTTTCTCCAACCTCAGCGACGCTCAATAAGCAGCAGGGGGATATTGAACTGTCCCTCCTGCTCATTTTTATTTTAATCATAAGTTCATCAGAACAATTTAAGGCAAATGGGAAATTAAAGAGGCTTTATCTCTCAATTTCCTGATGGTGTAAAAGCTACCAAGGCTGCACGAAGCTCAGGAAATAAATTCAAGGTCACAGACACCATGTTCCAAACACTTCCAAGGTCATATGGAAGCTCCAAAATCCACAAACTGAGCCCATCCTTCCACAGCCAGTGCCTGTGCCACAAATGGACATAAATCTATCTGAAAGAACAAATAAATAATAGAAAAATAAGACAGAGTTTATGATGTATCCAATCAATCTACTGAAATATTTGCATGTTCACGATGTTGACCCAGAGGTGCTCTGGGCACAGATAAAAGAAAATTGCTTATTGCAAACAAAGCACAGCTTTGCAAAAGCTGCCAAACTGGGCAGTAATATATTCTGTAATAGCTGTAATAGCAGAGAACTTCATTTATATTGGACATTGCTGGAAAAAAGTCATCAGGCACGGAAAGAAATCCGGGAAGCTGAGGGAATTTATGTGTTCTATCATTTGCTTCCAGGTCTGAGTTAGTTCAGCTCATCCTTGACTGACAAAACCTTATCTGAAATTCAAAATTTCTCCTGTGAAGATTGCAGAAACAATTCCCTTTATCCCTTTGGCCCAGGAGCACAAACAAGTAGAAAGATATGAAAGGGCAGCGCCGGTGCCTGTGCTGGCAAGTTCCAGGTGGATTTGGGGTTGACAGAGGACAATTCTCCCAAAATTTCTGGCACATTCTTCCCAAAGTCTGACACGAGGCACCTTCAATTCCTCCCGCAGAGATGAGAATGCTGCATCATCCCCCAGCTCAGGTGTGCCCCTGTGGGTATTCCAGCTCCTCATCTCTTCTCCATGAGCTGACATTCCAGAGGGTGGGACCCCCTGGGCTCATCACAGGGATGGCTTTGTGGGCATTTGTCCCATTTGTGATGCAGGGAAAACAGAGCTGAGGCCAGGCTGGGCTCTGCCAGCACCTCCTCTCAATTCTGGAGAGTGGTTTATTGGGAGTGGGTCCCTGAAATGAATCCCTCAGCGCTGCTTTACTGCAGGAACTTCAGACAAGGACAAGGGATCATTGAGGGCATCATCATTTATGAGATCACCATTCAGGATCATCACAGGAATCACTTAGGCTGGAAAAGACCTCCAAAACTATTAAATCCTTTAAGGAAACCCACAGCACTTTGGGAAAACATCTTTATCTGGGACATCACCAATGGAATTCACTGATGGTGACTCAATTCCTCAATTTTTTCACACGTTGGTTTAACCAAGTCTCCACTTCCAAGAGTTCTTCAACAGGCACTCTTTGAACAATCCCCAGCCTAACTGGCTTCACCCTGGGCTCCTCACGAGGGAAATGATGGAATATTTACTCTGCACTACTCTCACAGAAGAACTGCAGTTTGTAACACACAGTTTAATCCACACGGTACAAAACTTAACGTGACCAGACACTGCAGTGAAAAATAAATATCAGCTGAGCAGAGGAGAGCTCCAAACCCCCCAAGCTTCACTGTGGGGCTCCATGAAGAGAAAGGAAGGGTGGCAGGAGCAGGAAGCACATGCTTGTGCTCCAAAGCAGAGTTCTTTTGACAGGACAAGCTCCAGGAGTGGAGGCAGAGGCTCAGGGGAGGTTTTATTTCCACTGTAAATCCAAAGTCATCTTGACACACGAGCCAGGACCATTCTGGTGCCAGTCACTGCAGATTTAGAGAGGCCCTGAAGCAGCAGGGCTGGCTGGGCTCTGGGGCAGCACCAGCTCAGCCCAATGTCCCAGAGGTGGCAGTGTGACAATCACTGCACACTGACCAACCCACCAGGTTATGTGCAGGTAAAACACGAGATTCAGCCATGGAAGAACACTCACAGCAACAGGATTTTGTTATTCCCTTTAAACAAGCAACACTTCAGGACAGGAACGAGCTGCCTTGGCTGTTGCTCCCTCCCAGCCCGGCCTGACAGGGAATTCCAGCAGCTCCAGACTGAGATAAACCTGAACATCCAAACTGTGTCACTACAAACCTCCCCCCTCTGCCAGGAGGTAAACAACAATAACAAACAAAGGCATTTTCTGGAGTGACAAGTGCAAAGGAAACCAGTAGGAAAAAATCATCTTCCACCTACTTGCAATTCCTTAAACTTCAATCCTAGGCCAAATTCAGGGGGGTGTAAACCAAGAAAGAATTGTAGCTGTTGGTTTACACCATGTTATTATCCAAGCAACGCTTGAGAGAGAGGGAGACTGAATTTATCTCTGAAGTGCTTCCTGAAATACAAGTCGCTGCACTTTGTTCCTCAGCAGAAACAAAATCTAATTTAGCAAACGCTGATGCATGGTCACTGCACAATTCAGTGGGAACAAATATCAAATCATGCACAGTGCCTTGCTCTCAGCAGCATCATTTATGGAGGATCCATGGCTGCCTCCTCCCTAATGCAGCAGTTTGGGGTTTTGCCATTTGCTGTAGTTACTGTTACTCACACAGAAATGCTGTTATTCCGTGTTGTTCTACAGCCCATTCCACAAAGGCAGGCACATAAAAAACCTTTCCCCAGGAAAACTGAAATGCACAGGCAAACGCTGAAACACCAGGGGCAAACCCTGCTTGTCCAGCAGCACCTCCAAGGTTTGCTCACCTCACCTCACTCAACCCACACACACCAACTCCTTCTCATTGTTTGAGCAGGAAAAAACGTTCCTGTGCCCATTGTTTAGTGCTGTGCATCATTTATCAGGCACTAAAGATGCCTCCTTTAGGGTGGTTCAGCAAGTCATTACACCTGATCACAACCAGGGAGTAGTTTACTCCCAGCCCGGCTCTGATTCTCTGTCTCACCCAATTTCAGTGAGCAAACACGGAAAGCACCTCCACACTTGATCAATGCCAGCCTTGCTGCCCTCAGGATTCACCTTCCCCGAGCTGGAGCTTAACCTCCAGTCTCCTATCAAAGCCTGCTGGGTAATAAATAATGCAGAGTCATTCCATTAACTAGAACTTCATCAAAAGCCCGTGGATCCAAGAGCATCATCAAGGGATGATTTCCATCTCAGATAGCCTGAGCCTGCTCATTCTGAGCACGGGGAGTGATGAGCTGGGCAACGCAAGGGCAGGAAAAGTGCATTTGAGCTGAACTCAGCCCGTGCCAGCACTGCCAAGCCCAGAAGAATCCAAAGCCCCAGCTCAGCTCAAGTCAGGACACCCAGATTTGCACAACTGCACAAATCCCCGAACACCACAGTTCTCTGGGCACACACAGCCCTTCCCTCCCGGTCCAGGTGTCCCCCTGCCACCACTTTGTCCCTTCGTGCCACCACTTTGTCCCTTCTGGTGCTGCCCAGGTTGTTACTGCAGAGCTCCCACACCCCAGCACTGCTCCAGCCCAGCAATCCCATTTTCAGGCCTTCCCAAGCAGGAAGAGGAGAGGAACAAAAGGATGCAGAAGTCGTCCCCATGTGTGCTCTCTCTCCCTTTCCCAATCAAAAATGTTGTCCTGGACAGTTATGAAAATTCCTACACATGTCTGTG